GAAAGTAGCTGAAGATGGTCCAAGTGCTTGGGCCCTGACCCCACATGGGAGATCCGGAGGAAGCTCCTGGCTCCTGGCTTCAGATCAGCCCAGCTCCAGCCATTGCAACCATTTGGGGGAGTGAACCAGGGGATGGGAAGATTCTCTCTCTCCAGCTACCTCTTTAACTCTGCCTTTCAAACAAATAAACAAATCTTTTAAAAAGAAAAAGACATTCTACACAGCTATTCCAACCAAAACAAAATGATACTGGCATAAATACAGTCACACAGATGAACAGAAATCAATAAAGATCGAAGAAATGAATCCGTGCATCTATACAACTTTGACAAAACTGCCGGAAACACAATGGAAAAAAGACAGCGTCTTAACCAAATAGTGTGTGGAAAGTGGCATGTCCATACACAGATAAATCAATGATTTAGTCAAAATGGATCAAAGATCTAAATCTAAGACCATGACATATGAAGCTACTACATGAACTCATTAAGGAAATACTTGTACTCATCGCCATAGGCAACTTTTTTTTAAAGAATCCAAAGGCATAGGAAAGAAAAAGCATACAAGTGTGGTTTTATCAAATGTAGAAGCTTCCGCACAGCAAAAGAAATAATCCACAGAATGGAGACAACCAATAGAGTGAGAAGATAGTTATAAAGTAGTCATCTGTCGGCCGGCGCCGCGGCTCACTAGGCTAATCCTCCGCCTAGCGGCGCCGGCACACCGGGTTCTAGTCCCGGTCGGGGCGCCGGATTCTGTCCCGGTTGCCCCTCTTCCAGGCCAGCCCTCTGCTGTGGCCCGGGAGTGCAGTGGAGGATGGCCCAGGTGCTTGGGCCCTGCACCCCATGGGAGACCAGGAAAAGCACCTGGCTCCTGGCTCCTGCCATCGGATCAGCGCGGTGCGCCGGCCACATCGCGCTGGCCGCGGCGGCCATTGGAGGGTGAACCAACGGCAAAGGAAGACCTTTCTCTCTGTCTCTCTCTCTCTCACTGTCCACTCTGCCTGTCAAAAATAAAAAAAAAAAAAAAGTAGTCATCTGTCAAGGGACTAATATCCACAGTATGTAAAGAACCCGGAACACTTAACAGGAAAATGACCAACCCAGCTCACAAATGGGCACTGGCTCTGAGTTGACATTTTGTCCCTTGATTGGCTTTCAGGGATATGAGTAATTATTTGTCCTGATTCCACAAGTGTGTTTTCGTTCTACATGCCCATGGAGCTATCTGGAAGGAAAGAGATTTTTAATGGCAGATAATAATAATAAAAGGAGCCTCTAATATGAAAATCACACATGGACGTACAGGGCCCCACTCAAGTAGCAGTTATATATCGTTATGGACACCAGGAAACCAACCAGCAGATCAGCTAGGGGCTGGCGCTAGGGCAGAATATGTTAAGCCTCTACTTGTGGCACTGGCATCCCACATGGGCGCCAGTTCAAGTCTCAGCTGCTCCACTTTTTTTTTTTTTTAAAGATTTGTTTATTTGAAAGTCAGAGCTACACGGAGAGAGGAGAGGCAGAGAGAGAGAGAGAGAGAGAGGTCTTCCACCTGCTGGTTTGCTCCCCAGATGGCTACAATGGCCTGAGCGCCGATTTGGAACCAGGAGCTTCCTTTGGGTCTCCCTTGTGGGTGCAGGGCCCCAAGGACTTGGGCCAGCCTCTACTGCTCTCCCAGGCCATAGCAGAGAGCTGGAACAGAAGTGGAGCATCTGGAACTCGAACCGGTGCCCATGTGAGATGTTGGCACTGTAGGCGGCAGCTTTACCCGGAGGAAGCTCCAGGCTCTTGGCTTCAGATCCTTCCAGCTCT